CTGGGGCCTCCTGTAGCCTTCTGGGGCCTCCGGTTGCCTCACGTGGCTGGCCTCCTGATACCTCCTTGGGACTCCTGTGGCCTCCTAAGCAACTCGCTTAAGACATCCTCAAGGTCTGGCCCCCGCCTGGGGTGCGAAAACCAGAACCTCGCTCGAGACATCCTTACTATCTGCTCCGGAAGCAGAGGCTGTTGAGCACCGGAACAGGCACCCCGCTCGAGACATCCCCGCCATTTTGGCGCAACCAGAGGGGGGGTGCTGAAACCCACGCCTCGCTCGAGACATCCTCTGAATTTGCTCCGTCATCATTCACATCATCATCACCATCATCATCACCATCATCATCATCATCATCACCATCATCATCATCATAATCCTCCTCCTTCTCCTCCTCCTCGTCCTCCTCATCCTCCTCATCATCGTCATCATCATCATCATCATCATCACCAGCGTCATCATCGTCAGCATCATCAGCACCAACATCAGCACCAACATCATCATCAAGACCATCATCTGCATCATCATCCGCATCACCATCATCATCGTAACCCAACAAGCCATCATATACCATGGCATACCATAACACATCATACCATAACAAAACATGTCAGGGTATATCACAACATATGCACCATGATATATGATAGCATGCCATACCAGATCATTCAGACACATTATAAGGGAGAAGAGGGGGTGTGAGGTGTTCCTTCTCGGCGCGGTCGGTAAGAACAAGAACCCCATCCTCTGGATATTGGGAGCAAGAGCCCCATCCTTCGGATATGGGGATTTTTTATCATACCATAACCTGCTTATTGACCCTGAGTGTGACTCTGGGTGAGGAGGAGGAGGATGAGGAGGAGGAGGAGGAGGAGGAAAAGGAGGAGGAGGAAGAGGAGGAGGAGGCAGATGAGGAGGAGGAGGAGGAGGAAGGAGGGGTGGGTGGAAGGAATCGGCGCGGTTGTTCTAATGACAAGAACACCATCCCTTGAATATGGTGAAAAACTATGTAAACATGAACGTTTGGCGCTCCGCGCGGATTTCGTGGATCTGCGTTGGGGCCCCGTTGCGGTGCCCTCCGCGCCGCCCTTGGCGCGCTCCGCGCGACCGGGAGTGAGGTCCAGCTCAGATCCAAGAAATCCGCGCGGACCGTCAACAGTTTATGTGTATGCCGTTTTGTTGTTCCTCTAGAAGAGGATGTGGAGGAAGTGAAGGCGGATGGGAGGGAGGGAAGGAGGGATGAGTATAGAGGCAGGGACGACAGGTGGGAGGGATGGGGGGAGGGAAGGGGATGGATTGAGGATGAGCGGGATGATGAAGGAGTTGGGGACAGGGAGGTCGAGGAGCATGATGATGGGGAGAAGCGGGGGGTGATGTGGAGGAGAGCTGGGCAACCGAGGGAGGGAGCAGGAGGAACGGCATGGTATGGTCGGAGAGCGGGGAGGGAGGTGGGAGCAGGGATTCGGAAAGAGCGGGGGCAGGAGGATGGTATGAATGAGAAGGAGGAGGCGGAGGAGGTTTAGCGGGAGGAGGCAGGAATAACAAAGAAGCAGGGGGAGCACGTATTGGGCGGGAGGGGGAGGGGACAGAAGAATGGGAGTAAGATAAGGAGACGGAGGAGCATATAGCCAGCAGTTGCATGAGGCTGCAGGAAGAGAAGGAGCACTAGGACAATGAGGAGAAGGATGATGATGATGATGATGCTGATGATGATGATGATGATGATGATGATGATGATGATGATGAGGAGGAGGAGGAGGAGGAGGAGGAGGAGGAGGAGGAGGAAGGAGAAGGAGGAGAAGAAGCGGCCGCGTTCGGAGAACTCCGCTGCCGTCATTGCCCCATTGCCTCAGGAGGAGGGGCAGGAGAGGAGGGGAGGCGGAAGAGGATGGGAGGGAGGATGATGGAGGAATGAAGCACGACGAGTGAGGGGCAGTAGGAGGAGGAGGAGGAGGAGGAGGAGGAGGAGGAGGAGGAGGAGGAGGAGGAGGACCAGTGTAAACCTAAGACTCATCAACGATGTTGGAATACACCCTCCCTCCAAGCTCCCTCTTCATAGGCCCCTACATCGGTTCATTTCCACTGAGGGGACTGCCTCGTTGGAAGACAACCGTTTGAAGGCCCTGATGCGTGCCAAAACATCGCTCTCGGGATTCCAACGCCACGGTTCAGCCTGACTGTTGCGTTTTGACGATCCTGAATCGTGCCAGAACCCCATGCCTGGGCCTGCAACACCGCGAATCAACATAATGTTGCACCCTCCTAGAATCCTTACAACACATAGTTTCTAGTACGCTGATCATGGGGATCCTTGAAATTCTTGCGAATTTAACAAAAGCGAATGTGCGCGGCGCTAAGACGAGAACCACATTTTGAAAAGGAGCCGCCCTCAATCCGTCAAAACAAATGTTCGCGGCGCTAAGGCGAGAGCCACATTCTGAAAAAGAACCGCCCTCAATCCGCGAAACTCGTGCGCATGCTTCAAAAGCATGTGCGCGGCGCT